AAAATAAATAAATAAATAAATAAATAAATAAATAAATAAATAAATAAATCAATCAATCAATCAATCAATCAATCAATCAATCAATCAATCTGAATTTTAGCTATGTCATTTCGCCTTCCAGGCCGCCAGGGGGCAGAAGCGCTTCTGTCACGATGATGAAGACGGAGCGACGGAAGCTCACAGGGACAGTTTTATAACAACAATAAAAAATGGCGGAGCTTTAACGAGACGGAACTTTCGGTTATGTTTTACTCTGTCATAAATGAATTCACGGTGATCTCTGGTGGAGCAGCATGGACCCGTCCGATGCTGCGGTCCCCGCGCCGGAACAAAGCCCGAAACCCGAGCTCTCTGCCGCGATGCGGGCTAAAATCGAGAGAAACCGTCAGCGGGCGCTGATGCTCCGGCAGGCGCGACTAGCGAGCCGGCCTTTGTCCGCAGTGGAGGGCGCAACTTCGGCCAAAGTTTCCAAGACCATCGACTCCGGTGCTGGGTTCTTCATCGAGGAGGAAGAGTACGGAGGGACCGAGCAAAAAGCCAATAAGGTGGTTCATCAGCCAGGTGTGTGTGTCTGTACTTTCACTTTGTCGCTTGAAAAGTGTGTTAACATCGCTGAGTTTGAGTTGTGTGTTTTGTTGTCAGCCCCGGTGATAGAACCAGAGTACCTGCTGTGTGACGACTGTCAGAAACCCTTCATGGACTCATTCCTCAGCAACAGCTTTGATTTACCCGTCTGTGACAAATGCAGGTACAAACAGAGAAACACAAGTGTTTTCTGATGTTTTCATTACCAAGCTGAAGTTGGTTTCTGATTGCAGCTTCGGGAAATGACTAAAGGGCCCTTACAACTAATTTTTTATTACCTTGAGCGATTTTAAGCTGTTCTACCTTAAAAACTAAAATACTTAGAACATCCAAACCTGGACTAGATTCTTCTACACTAAAAACAGAATATTCAATCCTTGTTTATTAATCTCAGAAACATAATTGCATAGTTAAATTTTAGTAAACTTACATTCAGTATGAGAAAAAATAAATAAATTAGCATTGAAAACGTAAATGATCAAAAACTAATGCAGAGATTTTAATGAAATTCTCTGAGAGTAATCACTGGATGTTCATCTGTAATGTTTTGGAATCAGCTGTATTTTACCACAGATAATCAACATTAACCAGCACAAAAAAATCACTAACGCTTTAAAATATTTGCAGATATTGAGCTATGGATTTAGCTGAGAGTCATCGTTTGACCACACTTCTTAACAAGATCACACAAAACATCATTCACACAGTTTGACCGAAACAATTATAACTCTACTTTCTCGGCACAAGAAATTTTAGCTCAATTCTCCGTGTTGAAATGCAGCAGGGAAAATGCATTCTTTTAATAAATGCTTGTTTTTTAATTACAGAATAAATTCATCTAAATTCATCTAATCTGTCTGTCTTGTTGCCTCAGTGCTATATCTTGTTCAGCCGCCGTGTAGAAACAAACTTGTATTTGATCGTAAGAACTGAACGTGGAGAAATGTGTCTCATTTTTCCAGAGACAACGAGGAGAAGCACAAGCTGATCTCCAGGACGGAGGCCAAGCAGCGCTACCTGCTGAAGGACTGCGACCTGGACAAGCGAGAGCCTCCTCTCAGGTTCATATTGAGGAAGAACCCCCATAACTCCTGCTGGGGGGACATGAAGCTCTACCTCCAGCTGCAGGTGCACAACCTGTCACACATTCTCTCAGGAGGTCAAATATTTCTGCTCCTGTGCTTAAATATTGTCCTGTGCTGCATAAACCTGAAACAAACAAGACTGCACATTGTGATCTTAAATTCTTTGGAATGTCATTTACAAATAGTTTTTTTTTTTCATTGGCACAAGTTAACTAATGCAAGCAAAACATATTTGCAGTAGGGCTGCAACTAACGATTATTTTAATAATCGATTAATCTGTTGGTTATTTTTTTGATTAATCGACCAAATAATTAAAACACTTAGTTACATAAATATAAGTAGATATAAATAAATTCCTGTATAAATTAGGGATGCAAGTTATCAATTAATGTGAAGTTGTCTGAAGTTGATTTATCTAATTGACTAACGATTAACTGATAAGCAGCCATTTTATCAAAACCAGAGTTTTCTATAGAATCAAGAGAGTCTTTTCATAAAATGAAGGATTTTTTTTAATAATACGTTAAATTTAAAAAAGAAGCGCATTATAAATATTTTCACAATTGATTTTGCCAGCCATATTAAACACTGACTTGAAAAAAAAAGTGGATTTCTCATACATTAATAAACTTGGTTATAGCTATAAAACATAACAAAACAGAATTTTTTTATTCAATGACTCGTCTCATTTCGCTGCACTCTTTGCTTCACTATTGAACTCTGTGGAAGCTCAGCGTCCGTACTGTTTAAAGCACTGTGAAGCTGTGGGAATGAGTGAGAGGAAAGAAACATGATTACCAGTTATAAGAAGCTGATTCTGAACAAAACTTGAGTGTGTTGTAGTGCTTATTTATGGTTATGGTGAGTGGGGATGGATATAAAATCCATATGAGCGGAGGCCTCCTAAGTGAGCCCATTGATCTCCCCAAAAAGACACTGGTCTTCATTCGAACCTTCTCGTCCCTTGGATGAAGGACACAAGGTTAGAAACACTCAGTGTTCTGAGCTTCTCAGGATCCATAAAGGGGTCCCCAAGAATTATTTTCCTTTGACCACTCAGAGCCAAACAGTGGCCTAAGTAGTGCAAAGAGGTCTCTAATTCAATGCCACAGGCATCACACAGACCATTGTCCTGGAGTCCCATCACCATTTTGTGGCAGTTGAGCAGATTGCGCCCAGTTAGGACTCCAACCAGTGTACTTAGAGTTTTCCTTGACAGGGAGATGAGAGCTTTCCCAAACCTTAGATTTGGGCCGTTAATCAGTTCCCATGCCTGTCTACAGTCTGTCAAATCCCTCCAGCGGATTGAGTGTTGACATCTAATCCAGGCCTGAAGGGTCCCACAGACTGTTGTTGAGGTACCTACAGCAGGCCTGTTAGCTTTAGCGTTAGCCCCGACGCTATCACCATGTAAATGTATTAACTCAGCGCTACACATTCTCTCATCATTGAGGTCCTCCATCCACATGACAGAGAGGGGAACACAAAAATGACTCAGACTGTAACTGAAGATATAGATGGAGGGCCTCAGTTTAGCTTGTTTGTCGCGCTAGCGCCGAGCTAATACATATAAGGCAATATAGCATGAGGGCTATCGTGCAGGCTAACAGGCTAAGCTGAGGTTCTTCTTACATGAAGCAGCTCTGTTGTCCTCCATCCATATTTTCAGTTACAGGCTGAGTCATTTCTACTTTCTCCTCTCTGTCAACGCTCTCTGGTTTCATTTAAAAGAATCAATCATCAGATATTGTCCAAGATTAACCTTCAGGGTGGATATAGCTCACTCATATCGATGACCTATCCACGTCATCATTTACCCAGAATGCTTTGCGTGTAAATGAAATGGCTCCATCTG